TCAGTTGACAGATGTCAGTCGACAGTGGTCAGTCGACAGTGGTCAGTGGTCAGTTGACAGATGTCAGTTGACAGATGTCAGTGGTCAGTTGTCAGTGGTCAGTTGACAGATGTCAGTTGACAGATGTCAGTTGACTGTGGTCAGTTGACAGATGTCAGTTGACAGATGTCAGTTGACAGTGGTCAGTCGACAGTGGTCAGTCGTCAGTGGTCAGTTGACAGATGTCAGTTGACAGATGTCAGTTGACAGATGTCAGTTGACAGTTGTCAGTTGACAGTTGTCAGGCCTCATTCAGTTTGTTTCTTGGGTTTGACACAACCCAACTGTCCCAAACCTTGTGCAGATTTTAAAGACATTTTGAAGAAGAACAAAATAAAATCTTCTTTGTCTGCTACAAGGACTCACGTCAATATGCTGTGTATATATGCCCCACTTCCTCCGGGGGGGTGTAACAATCATCTCCAATAGCAGAAATGTACAATGAACCCTTGTAAATCACACAAGATCAAATGAAGACCTGTGTGTTTTTCCGATGGTGACGTGTGAATTTAACTGGAGTTGTTTTCATGAGGACACTTTGTTGAAAGTTTTTAAACTTTAACTGAAACACACGTTAGTTTTTCCAGAGAGCGTGCACCACTTACTGTCTCCATTTGCAAACTTCAGAGCAGCAGCGCTGGCACCGTGCACTCTCTCTGCCTGCAACGCGATGTCGTTCTCTAACAGAGCGTGTTTTTGCAACAAGTCTTCCACCTCCAGCAAATGTTTTCCAAAATCAGGGGAGAACAGCCGAGCCTGCAGAGAACATCCATGGTTAGTGTGCTGTTTGGACAGCAGGTGCTTTTACTTTAGATCTTTGGATGTGCACCTTCATGTCATCCATCCAGCTGATGATGTGCAGCATCTCCTGGAAGATCCTCTGCAGAGTCAAGTTCATGTCCAGGCGCCCCCGTCGAGCCCTCAGCAGCTCCTGCAAGTAGTCCCACAGACGGAGGATGTTGTCTTTTCGCACATCGATCCGCTTGGCGTCATGATAACGCTCCGACTCCAGCTCTTTGGAGATGTTGAGCAGCGCCTGGACGCGCTCCTCGTATGCTGCGATGTCCGTCTCAATGGCATCGTGCTTCTTCTTCGCTGCTTCCACTGCAGGCAGGTCGTAGCCAAAGTTATCCTGAGGAGGTCCACACAGGTTTAACTTGGAAAACATTCAGCTGGTACTCATGTAACATATGAAGCTTTTTCATTGACTGTGCAGCCCAGATAAAATCTGTCAAGTTCATTTGAGTCCCTGCTTTGATGGTTTCACCATTTCTCTGGAGTAAATTTGAGCTTGTGAGTTTTATGAACACATGAATGACGAGACCACAGGAGGAAATCTGTGATCACATTAAACGTCTTACAGACTTCACAGCCTGGACATGAACCATCAGATGTTCTGCTGAAACTACAGACATTTAAAACAAGATCATTTCACAGATAAACTGTGTTCAAGGCCTGAAATCTGCAGCTAAACTTTAGAGGAAAATTATAAGAGAAAGGAATCAACGGCGATTTCTTGAACTTGATGAATGTTTTGAATAATTGTGACCAAAGTATTCCTGTTTTTCCATAAAGGGGCAGCTGTAGTTCAAAACTGTGGTCAATCACATTGTTGAGTTCATGCTTGGAAGAAACCTCAAGTCTGGTCTCATTTCCTCCGAGTCATCCACATCAGGTCCACATGGATGGTTGGGGGGGAGGGGGGACCAGATCACTTTAGTGACAGACGTGTTCCTGTTTTTAGTATTTTACATGGCTTTATAATCTAGCTGTTTTTGTTTCATTTTCTTCCATTTGTTTTTCCTGACTGTTCTCTGTGGTCATCACTCGGTTTCATACACGAGTCCTCGAGGCTCCGTGAGACTAACCTGCAGACACAAAGCTTGAATGAACTTTACAGACATGCTGAAGGTCAGTCAGCAAGTCGAGCCCCACCATCTTTTTTAGAGGTTAAAACCACTTCTGATTAGAGGCAATGTGTAAAATAATTGTGTTCGTCCTGTTAGTTGCTCTGACAGAGACCTCAGCAACAAAACGAACCGTCGTCGTCAGTAGAACGTCAAATATCAGTAGCAGATTAAATGTGTGCAGCGGTTGGCTAACCTGAGCAACCAGTCTCTGGTTTTCCAGAAGCCAGGTCTCCCTCATGGCGGCCTTCCTGTCGAACCTGCGGGCCATCTGCTCCAGCTTCTCCTGCCTGATCAGCTCCTCTCTCAGGAGGCGCTCCCGCTCGTGCTCCGCTCTTTCCAGACGCTCCCAGGCCTGCACAGTCCATGATCCAAAGCTAATGCAGTTTAACACCAACAGCAGGTGACACTGAAATATTCAGTAAACTAGAGCTTCCTCGTGCTGGATGCCACCCTGCAGGTGGAGGTTCAAACAGACCTGGAGATCGTAATACAGACGCACGCTGAGACAACAACATCGTTGACACGTCTCCAGGTGCAACAAACCCAAAGATGGGGCGGATCTATGAGGCGCTGTCACAACGTTACATTCTTTGGTCATCTGCTTTAATTATAATGATTCTTTAGTTCACCCCACATACAGTTTTATCATTCGTCTCTGAAGAAGAAATGGAGATAATGCTGCAGGTCTTTTGTTTTGTTCACAAAAACTCATAAAGCACAACAAAGATTTAAATTCAGAACATCATCAGTACATGCACATTTAAACTTGAAAACTTTTGGCGTCAACTGAATTCAAAGTTGTTACGATCAACGTCAGAAAACACAAAAATGACTTTTCTGATGTTCTACTAAACTCTGATGCATGAGCCCCGTCATTCATCCTCAGATTATACTCCTTGCACTAACAACCTTACAAAATAATATATGACGTAATAATATGGCATGAACTTTCATTTACAATGTTTGACCAATGCAGCTCTAACTTTAATCCTCATCACAAGAGCATTTGATTATGAAACTCTGGAATAAAAGATGGCGGGTAACGTGCACTCTTTCCAGGTAAACTAGGCAGTTTGTTTTCAAGCTGCTCTTTACTGATCCTGGATTCTCACCCTGTTGATATCTGAAACCAGCGCTCCCTCTTTAGGGGTGTAGACCCTCTGATTGTTGGCCCTCATACGACTATGGATGGTGAACAGCAGCACCTCCAAATTGCCTTTCTCCTGGAACCTGAGGAGAAAACAAAACAAGGAGATCCTCTCAGACCAGCTGGCAAACATACAGCTTCCTACCTGGATTACAGATCAACACCAAGTTTAAAACAAGTCAAGCACTAAAGAAAATGCAATTTGTGAAAAAGCCACTGCTGAATTAAGCTGAAGAACTAATCTGAGCTGTTTAAGGTAAAACAAGCAGAACACTAGTTAAAAACGGCAAAACGCTGCTAACGTAGAAGATTATTAGATTAAAAAATCGAAACGCTAGCTAAAAGATAACAGAACAGTAGCTAAATGCTAAAAGTTGCAAAGGACTAGCTAAAAGATGAAAGTTGAAGAACAATTAAAAACTAAAAAAGCATACAAAGACAGAAAGAGAGCAAGTCTGATGAAGCAGATTTAAAATAAATCAATGTTTAGAAAGCAGTGAAGACATCTTAATTCACTTATACTGGAAAATAGTCATAAATAGTTAAATCATTTGAAAAGTACAAAAGTGAATAACCTTGATTAGCCATAGCACACATCCCATATGAACATTTTCATACATGAATGGAGAAAACAGGACAAAACGTACAGAAACAAACAGGAAAACAATAGTGTGAATGTAGCATCTACAGAGCAGTTTCATGTAAAATCCACCTAAACATCCACCCTACAGAGTAAATTAGTAAATTTACAGAATAAGTTGATGTAAAAACCCACCCTACATAGTAAATAAGTAAATTTACAGAATAAGTTCATGTAAGAACCCACCCTATAGAGTAAATTAGTAAATTTACAGAATAATTTGATGTAAAAACCCAACTA